CTCTTTCGATGCCTCGCCCATCCTCCCCCTCTTGGGGTATGACGGCGTCGCCGGCCCTGTGATCATCTGTACGACGCGGGCCTTACTTTTTTGATCAGGACAACCCTCGGCATCGGCTCTGGACGGGCTGGCGGGGTTACGCGAAGCGTCCAGAATCCTGAAGAGCCACGTGCGGTTGTGCATCGACGACCACCTGCAGGCGTTGACAATACAAATTGCAGGCACAATCTGGACAGGAGGTAAGTGAGCAAGGCCCTTGGAGGCAAGAAGAGGAGGAGGAAGAGGAGGGAAGGGAGGGGGAGGGGGAGGAGGAGGAGGAGGACGACGACGCGGAGGAGAGAGGTTCCTTAAGGAGGAGGAGGAGGAGGAGGAGGAGGAGGAGGAGGAGGAGGAGGAGGAGGAGGAGGGGGAGGACGCAAAGGTACCTTGGGGGAGGGCGCACGTCCTTACCGTGGGTTTCGACTGTACAAGGAGAAGGACAATGGGCCAGGAGGGGCAGCCGCAATAAGAAACAAGGGGAGGGTGGAGGGAGATGAGGAGGACGATGAGGTGGAAAGGAAGGATCCCCTGCTTAGTTTTTGTCCCCTCTCCCTCCTATCACTTATCCCCCATTCCACTGCGCGACCTTAGCGCGTGGTAGAGTTGCAGATGCCGTCGGCCATGATAATCGCTATCGCGGCACTCAGCGTCGGTCAGCCAGTAGCCGGCGGAGTCAAGCAGGTGGACGTACGCAACCAACGAACAGAGGCAGCCACAAAGCGCACTGTGGTCGTCAGTGCCGTCGTAGTCGTAGATGTCACACGACACACAGGCAAGGTAGTGCAGGATGCATTTGCAAGCAATGGCCTTCACCTTGCCCGAAAGACACGGGAACTCCTTCTGATTCAGCCGCTCGCGACCCATCGATGGCAAAGTAAAGCAATTCCAGGAAAGGCGGCATTTTGTGACGCCGCGATCTGCGCACCATACCCTGTAGTGTTTGAAGAGCAAGTCGAGGGCCATATCGTGCGTCACGTTATGTGCTTCGAACTTCTCGGAGCACCACCGCGCTAACCCGCCAGTGTAGAGCCACAGCACGACAGCGCTTGCAGCTAGGTCTTTTCCGAACCCAAGGTAGATGCCGTGCGCCAAGTCCCTGTGGAGCGTGCGTAGTGTGATACCTTGAACGATGTACCACGGCGAATGGTACACAGGAGGCTCGAGGCGCATGAACTGCTCGTGCGTTATCTTGGATGTTCTCCACCGTGCGAGGGGCCCGAAATCCATGAACGTCATATCTGGGTCACCGTTCTGGGCTGGTTTCTGCGCCAGACAGGACTCGCACAGCAGCGTCTTTTTATAATAGCGTGGCAAACAATGCGCTTCCCACCTGCTCTTTGCATCTGCCGCGAACCCCACCCGCGAGCCCCTAGCTATCGAGGCGCCGCGTTAGGAGAAGGGGGGAGGAGCGAGGAAGGAGGAGGGGAGGAGGGACGAAGGGGAGGACGGGGAGGGGCGAAGAAAAGGAGGAGGAGAAGGAGGAGGAGGAGGACGGGAAGAGGAGGAGAAGGAGGAGGAGGAGCAGGAGGAAAACCAATTTTTGATTTTCGCTGCAGGCGCACAAATATACAAAGCCATGGCGGTGTCAGGCCCCGTAAAGCTCGAGCGAGTCAGAAGGAGGAGGAGGAGGAGGAGGAGGAGGAGGAAGAGGACGACGACGACGAGCAGATGGAGGAGGAGGAGGAGGAGGAGGAGGAGAAGCACGAGTAGGAGTAGGAGGAGGTGGAGGAGGAGGAGGAAGGGGAGGAGGAGGAGGGGAGGGGGGGCAGGAGGGGGCCTGTGGTGGAGTTCCCCGTGCAGCACGACTCGCGTAAGGGGTGAGCCAAAATGCATTCGGGGCCGCCATTTACATTTTGCCCGGCGGAGTCGGCGAAAGCCTGTCAAACGAACGCTCCGCGCCAACCCTCGGCGAGGTCAGTGCCGCTCAGCTCGGCCCGGCGCCCTTCGAGCGGCTCGCCGCGCGCGCCCCGATCAGGCCACTTCCCCTCGAGGAGGGCGGTGGAGGACCAATGGGCGAGTTTGGCTACGGCAGATCGTTCGCCGCACAAGCGTGGCCGCGACCACTACCCCTCGCCCCTCCTCCTGTGCAGCGGGGGAGGCGCAGGGGGCAGCGCGCGCGGCCACGTTTGGGCGGCGAGCATTGGGCGGCCCTCATGTCAACGAGCGCGGCGTGCGGGATCGACACAATCGGGAACAAGCGGTCGAAGGCGCTGCCGACGTCGCACATGACGGAACCGTAGCTCCAGATGTGGTACTCCTGGTTGCGGAAGACTTCGGCGCCGTCGTAGTGCACGTACAACGGCGCTGTCTTGCCAACGTCGTTCCATGGCCGTCTGGCCGCCGGGTGGTCAGCGAGGTGGGGCGCGGTGGCGATGGCATTCTGCCACCAGCGGAGCACCCCGTCGGCACCGTTCTTGCCGAAGATGGAGATCTCCCGCTGGAGATATATGTTGCATAGCATGACCTTAAGCTATATGACCGTTCCCCCGACTCTGAGGAAGTCGTCGACGACGTCATCGACGACGACGATCACGACGGTTACGATGACGACGATTACGACGACGACGACGACGACGACGACGACGACGACGACGACGATCACGACGGTGAGACGACGACAGCGACGACGACAAAGACGACGGCGGCGGCGACAACGAGGACGAGGTCGAGGACGACGACGACGACGACGAAAATGCTGACGCTGCAGAGCCCTTCTCTGGGCCGTCTTGTGTGTCGGTTGGGCCTTCTTGGGGGGGGCCTCGTCGGTTTTCTTGGGGCTTTCTTGGGCCGCATTGCGGCTCTCTCGGGAGTCTCTTGGGCTTCTGATCTCGGGGGCCTCTCGCGCCGTCTTGGAGCGCTTGACGCCCGGACATCTCTTGGGACCCTATTGGGGATGATATCGGGGGCGTTTCTGGGTTTTTTCGGGGGCCTCTTGGGGCCTCGCCGGGTCTTCTGGGGCGCCTCTTTGGGCTTGCTGCATGGGGTCTCATGGGGCAGGCACCGCGGAGGTGGAGCGGGGGCAGGAGAAGAAAGAGAGGAGTGGGGAGGCCCGGCCGGCAGACGCACAACACGTTCACACAGCACGTTGTCCCTCCATCACCCTCTCTCTATACGCATCTCTCTCTCTCTCTCTCTCTCTCTCTCTCTCTCCATGTGCAGTTCCGTTCTTTTCCTCTCGTCTCTCAATTCCCCCTTTCGCTTATTATATCACTCTCTCTCTGTATCCTCTATCCTCTCTCTCTCGATCTCCCTGTTCTCCTCATTTTCTTCTCTCCCGTATACCTCCCTCTCTTTCTCTCTTTCTCCCTCTCTCTCTCTCTTTCTCTCTCTTTCTCTCTCTCCTTCACCGCGATCCAAACAACGCGCGGAACGGCATCCTGATCAGTGCCCGCAGCCCAGAGCGCGGCGAAGAGCTCGTGGGGGGCCAGAGCATCAACAAGGTGCTCTGTCGGTGCAGGGTCGTCCTGCAGGGTAGGCGCTGCCAAAGACGAGGAGGAGGAAGAGGCAGAGGAGGAGTAGGAGGAGTAGGAGGAGTAGGAGGAGGAGGAGGAGGAGGAGGAGGAGGAGGACGAGGAGGAGGACGAGGAGGGGGACGAGAGGGGGAAGAGGAGGAGAGGATGAGGATTAGGACAAGGAGGGCGAGGAGGAGGTCCCAGCCCGCCCGCTACATTCTTACGGTCAGCGCTCCTCGTACTGCAGCTTGACCTCAATGCGGTAAGGCTGCAGCCCGAAGTTGGGCGCGAACGCGCGCATGCTCCTGTGGAAGTCCCGCTCGGCGTGGGACGACTGCTTCTCGCCCGCCTTGGCCAGCTTGTTCACCAACTTGCCGCATGATTGGCCTCCGACAAGGCCTCGAACTGCGCGAGCGACGCGAGTGCAAGTGCTGATGTTCATACCGTGCCCGACCTCATCGATGATGAAGTCGCGGAAGCTGTCGCTATCAACAGGCCTCCGCGCAAAGGGCAGGCCGCGCAAAGTACGGGGAGGAAGAAGGGGGAGGAGGAGGAGGAGGAGGAGGAGGAGGAGGAGGAGGAGGAGGAGGAGGAGGAGGAGGAGGAGGGAGAGGAGGATGAGGAGGAGGAGGAGCAGCAGCAGCAGCAGCAACAGCAGGAGGAGCAGGAGCAGGAGGAGCAGCAGGAGCAGGAGAAGCAGGAGGAGCAGAAGGAGAAGGAGAGGGGCTCCACAGGCAAGATGGCAATCTGCGTGCTGAGACCTCAGGAGCCCCCCACTCCACGGCTTGAAGGAGCCCCGGGCAATAGAGCCCCAACACAGCGAAGTGCACGATAAAAAGGGCCCAACGAATCACGAGCGACTTACAGGTATACCCACTCCACCTCCTGCTCGCTCTCTTTTTCCCTTTTCTCTTCCTCCTCCACCTCCTCCGGTTGCTTTTCCTCGTCCTCCCCTTCCTCCCCCTCCCCCATTCCTCCTGTCTATTCCTCCTCCTCCTCCTCCTCCACCTCCTCCTCCTCCTCCTGCTCCTGCTGCTCCTGCTGCTGCTGCTGCTGCTCCTCCTCCTCCTCCACCTCCTCCTACTCCTACTCCTGCTCCTTCTCCTCCTTCTCCTCCTCCTCCTCCTCTTCCTCCTCCTCCTCCTCCTCCTCCTCCTCCCCCTCTTTCTCCTCCTCCTCCTCCTCCTCCTCCTCCTCCTCCTCCTCCTCCGCTTTACCCTTGCCTTCTATCCTCCCCCTGTTCCTCCTTGCCCTGGCCCCCCTTTGCCGTTGCCCTCCTCCCCCTCCCCATTCGCCCCTCGGGCTGGCCCGCGCGCGAGGCAGGGCGCCTCCGCTCGGATGAAGATGGGGCCGCCCGCGAACCTCCGCCAGCGCGGCGCCGGCAGGGGCAGGAGTGCGAGGGGGCCAGCGAGGACAACAATAGGCGAATGGGATGCATACGAGAAGGGAACATTATCAGGATCAGTGGAAGGATGAATCACAAGGTGGGTGAGGACGCATGGGCAAGGGGGAGATATGCAATAGGGAGGGAGTGTGGCAGTGGAAAGGAGGAGGAGAAGAGGAGGAGGAGGAGGAGGAGGAGGAGGAGGACAACGACGAGCACGAGGATGAGGAGGAGGAGGAGGAGTAAGCAGAGGGAGCATGAGTGCCCATTCTCGGGGGCAGCCTCTCCTTCCCCTGACTGTCCCCTCTCCTCCCATCCCTTCCGGCCCGCCTCTGACAGCATAGAGAGAGCGATCAGCAGTGAGAGCGATTGTGATCGCACTCCTCCCCCTCCTCCTCTTCCTCATCGTCCTCCTCGTCCCTTTCCTCCTCCTCTTCTCCTCCTCCTGATCCTGCTCTCCCTCCTCCTCCTCCTCCTCTTCCTCCTCCTTCTCTGCTTCTCGCATTGCCACCATCAGCGCAGCAGCATGCCAAGTTAGCTCGTGCAACTTGGCCCCCGACTCGCTGCTCGCGCCGCGCACGTGCGAGACCCCAGGCCACTGCAGCTAACTGGAGACTGTCCAGCCAGCCGCCCCTAGGCCTCCGACTTGGACTCCTTGCCCTTCTTGGGCTTCTGGCCGTACATTTTCACATAGGGCAGAAGGTTGTTAGCGAAGTCCAGCTTCTTGCTCGCAAGGAGTGTCCGGGCCTGATCGTAGTGCTTGGCTTTGTTCTTCATCGCGCCGACCTTCAGGGATTATGCTGCCAATGTTTTGAGGGCCCCAGGGGCTCGTTAAGCCGACCGAACTCAAGACAGGGGCTCCGCGGGACACTTGGCAGCACACAGCATAGATTGCACCCGGCTTGCACCGCGTAGATTGCACAACATAGTTTGCACTGCCAACATATTGCACCGCGTAGTTTGCACCGCATATTGGCCCACCGTTTCGAACATGTTTGTACGGGCGTTGCTTGCTCAGCGTAACCTTCACCACATAGCTTGCACGAGCTAGCTTACATCACATAGCTTACACCTGCGCGATACCATGACGAAGCGGGCGCGTTATATTGCATTGCTCACGCGACATAGTTTACACAACATGGCAGATTCAGCTTTATTATGGTGAAATGCGGCGGAGGAGGAAGAGTAGGAGGAGGAGGAGGAGGAGGAGGAGGAGGAGGAGCATCTCGACGACAAGGGAAAGGAGGGCGATGGGAAGGAGGAGAAGGGGCAGCAGGACAAAGAAGGGGAAGGAGGAGACCGAGGAGGAGCAGGAGAAACAAAATCGAGGTGGGGGAAGAGGAGGAAGAGGATGAATGAAGGGTAACGGGAGGAGGAGGTCACACCACCTTCTGCTTGAGATCGGCGAGTATATTTTTCACGTCCTTCTCCAGGGCCACGAGGGCGTCCAAGGTGGGCCTCGCCAGCGACTTGCCCTCGCACCGCAACCTGTGCTTGTCCAGATCGGCCGCGAAGTTGATCGTCTCGTCGAGCAGGTCGTGGCCGACTTCAAGCGGCGTCCTCTTGGCGAGCTTCGCCAATTTCGCGGCCTCCCTCTCTGCCTTCTGCTTCTCCTTGTCCGTCGTGTCCGCGTTGATCGTGCCGCGAGGGATGAGGTCCATGGCATCGTCGATCCCCTGCTCTCCCATCCACGACTCGGTCTGCAGCACGCCAGCGTGGAGCAAGTCGGTGGCCTTGTCCGCGTCGATCGCCATCTCGGCCGAGACTCCAAAACTCTCAGTCAAGGAGCTCGTCGCGTCCACCGATCCACCTGAATCGGCCAAGTACTTCCTCAGGTCCTTGTTGTCCGGGTTGATCTTGTCTGGGCGCCACCATCCCTTCTTCTCGTTGACCTCCACCACCTTTTTGATCGTGGCCTCGTCATAATGGAGGTCCTCCTTCATCTGCCTCACTGTGTACAGCTTCAGGCTGTCCGTGCGGGACTTCCGCATCTCGGCGACCTTGTTCATCTTCACCAAGAACTTAGCTTCGTCGAAGTCACACTCCAAAAACTTCTGGAACAGCTCGAGCTTGGACTCTCCATTCCTGAGCGATTTCATTTTCGCGGGGTTCCTGTAGAGCCTGTCGAACCGCTTCCACTCGTTCTTGTGCGTGGTGGAGTTGCCACGCGCCCCCGCCTTGCGAAGGACAGGAGGGTGAGGGGGAGGAGGAGGGAAGAGTAGGACGAGGACGACGACTATGGCTGAGGAGGGAGAAGTAGGAGGTTGATTAGGAGTATTGGGGGTATAGGGAGAAGGAGGGAGGAGTAGGAGGAGGAGCAGGAGGAGTAGGAGGAGGAGAATGAGGAGGAGGAGGAGAAGGAGGAGGAGGAGGAGGAGAGGGAGGGGGAGGCAAAGGAGGAGGAAGGTATCCAGAGAGGAACGACGGGGGCCTTCGCAAGGTTCTTCGCCGCAAGGATCGTATCCTTGCCGTCGTTCTCGCCCGCCTTCTTGCCGTGGGCGTCGACGGTGCCGCCCTCCTCGCTCTCGGAGCCGCTGTCAGACATGCGTTCGCCCTCAGCCTTGCCATGGCCGTCTCCATCATCCTTTCCACTCGTGTTTTTCTCGCCCCTGCCAGTCGCGGAGC